GTAACAGATTTTCTAGTAGTAAATGACCATCATCTATTTAATTGTGATAAGTCATTCTTTTACTATACTGCCTAATTTAATATTTCTTTTTTTCATGCTAGGAATTGAATCTAGGGATTCATGCATGTTTAATATGTTTCCTACCACTGAGCTATAACTTTAATCCTAAATATTTCACTTTTTAATACGAGCTTTTGGGAACTGCAGCAAGTTCTGCCTATAGCCTATAGTTTTTTACGATAGAAAGTTCTCTAGTTTTATTTTTATTCATGGGTATTTACTTCGATACAATTTTATCACTCATGAAGGATCACGTATCACTACCACAGTCAGGATGCAGAAAAGTTCATTTCCACAAGGATCCTTCAAATTGCCTTTTTACAACTGGATTCACCTCCTCCCCATTCCCATCATACCAATAACACCTGGGCAACCACTAATCTGTTCTCCATTTCTCAAATTTTGTAATTCTTCAATATTTTATCATTTCGAGTTGACCGTTTTTTTACTCACTCATTCAAAAAAATTGCTTGAGATTCATCCAAGCAATTACGTTGAGTTGCAGTCATTCTTTTTTTATTGCTGAGTAATAATATTCTATGGCGTGGATGTACCAAAGTCTGTGCCATGAAGTGTTACTTTTTTTTTCTGGTGTTACTAGCAAAACTGTGATTATTTAATAAGAAGAACTATGCAGTTTACATTTTTTTCCTATGTCTAGAGTAGATCATAAACATATCTGGAAGTAGGAAAGTAATTCATCAATGCATTTTCTCACATATTGCAGGACTACAAATCCATTCGACTTTTTATATTTCCCAAATTGATTATTTATCATTTATATACAGTATTTTAAAAATAGTTCATTTCTTGTAGGTTTTCTAACAGTGATCTCATACATTTGTATACCTATAAATACAACTTGTCTTTTAAAAAAATGTCCTGAATCTGTTACATCTGAGTTCAATTACTCGGTTTTATTGAATAATTTCCTTACATCGATTTATTTCTCTTTCACAACAACTGTTACATTATTTCTTATATTTATAATTCATACATTTCTGCCTTAATTACTGTTGCTATTATCCTTTCTCTAAGTTTTTGATTTGGAAGATTATACTTTGTATTTATTTTTCTTGTTTGATACTAAAAACAAGAACTTTTATTTTCAGTACTTGATTTTAAAAGCAATAGTCATTTAGAACATGATTTTGGATCCCTAGCTGGGAAGGATTTATTCTTATAAATTGTTGTGAAATTTGTTTTTTTTTTTCATTTTTCTTTTATTATTCATATGTGCATACAAGGCTTGGTTCATTTCTCCCCTCTGCCCCCACCCCCTTCCTTACCACCTACTCCCCCCCCCAATACCCAGCAGAAACTATTTTGCCCTTATTTCTAATTTTGTTGTAGAGAGAGTATAAGCAATAATAGGAAGGAACAAGGGTTTTTGCTGGTTGAGATAAGAATAGCTATACAGGGCATTGACTCACATTGATTTCCTGTGCGTGGGTGTTACCTTCTAGGTTAACAAAAAAACAAAAACAATAACAAAAAAAAAAAGAAAATAAATTGAGCTTTATTGCTTTGTGGTCATGGAATTCCATTTGGATATCTTCTACTTTTTAATATTTTTTTTGTGGTAGTGAATGCTATAACTCAAAAAGGGTCTCATAGGATCTTGAAAATAAGGTGTAAGTCCTATTTTTTGACTTATTTTGTCATGGCCAATGTAACATAAGTTGGCCATTTTTAACCATTTTTAAGTGTGCCATTCAGTGGCGTGATGTAAGGTAACTGCTGTGCACTGTTACCACTCATCAAACTTCCCGTCTCCTTGAACTGAAACTCTGCATCCATTAAGTAACTTCTTATTGTTTTTCTTATACCCCTGATAACCTTGGTTCTATTTTCTGTCTTCATGAATTTGACTATTCTAGGTCCTCATATAAATATAATTATACAATAGTTACTCTTTTATGTCAGTTTATTTCACTTAGCATGGTTTTAAGGTTCATTTGCATTGTACCATGTATCAAAATTTCATTCCTTTTTAAGATTGAGTAATATTCCATTGAGTACATAACATTTTGTTTAATCATTTATGTAAGCTCCATTTTTAGCAAAAATATTAATAAGTGTTTCATTAATACAAAATTACATTATTCAAGTTCTGACTTCCATTTTTAATCTGTCAGACTGATGGATGTAAGACAACTTTTCTTATGACTATTTCTTTATTTCTTTTTCTTTATTTAATATAATATGGTGTTATTTGGCTTATAAGATATAGTATATCTTTTTTATTGTTGTTTTGTTTTGAAAAATGGACTGTAGCTCAGGCCAACCTTAAACTTGAGATGATCCTCCTGTCTCAGCCTCTTCCTGGGATTACAGGCATGTACCACTGTGCCTAGCTCTATTGTGTCTTTAATTGTGTCACTGATTAAAATAAAATATTTCTCTGACCCCACTTAGTGATTATGAATTTGAACTTGCCTTTATATACTAATACACCACCACTGATCTGTCTGTTACTGTTTTCACACTATACTAACATTTACTCTTTTTTTTTTCAAGTTTCTGGATCATTTCTTAGATATGACCTTGTATAAACTGGATCTGCTTGTTACCAAACCTGCAAGTGTTTTCCTTGTGGCATGTAAGCTTATCCTAATTCTACTTGACAGAACTGTTATGCTTGGCTTTACTTTTGTTATCTTATTTTTATTATTTCTATTTTCTTTGCAGAATTTTTTAGCATTTTGCTACACAAACTATGTTTTGCTTGATTTTTATCTTTTGTAGGAATGTGGAAAAGAAAAATCTTGTTTGAAGTGGTACAAGCAGTTGCCTTTTAAGTATGTCAAACGATTGCCTGTAGCCTTTGTTCTGCAAATTGCACAACTTGACCCCCACTACACTCAGCTTGGAGCTTAGGGCAACTTCCCTTCCCTGCCACCTCCCTCTTGCTGCTTCCTCATCTTCTGAATTTCAGTTTGGGGATGTTGATCCAGCTTACTATTAAATTACTTTTCTGCTTTTATTATACATCTTTCCCCATATTTTATTCAGGCTTTCCTGATATATTTTAAAGCTTTGTAAAAGTAATCACTTATACTTAACATTTCTATATTTGATTAATTTGAGTATTCACCACTAGTCCTTTTCCTACTATGACTTGTCCATTTTCGATTTGTCATTTTCCTTCATTCATCATCCATCTGGAGAATGGCTTTTGGCATTTGATTAGGATGGGTAAGAAAAGAGGGGGAACTCTGATCTTGTACACAAATGACCACAATTTATCTGTTTATGAAATTGTTAAGTCATATCTACTATCTTGTGGTCCTTGCTCTATGGATTTCTGTAGTTTATTTTGGGGCTGGGAAATTTGAGGTTGTCTGATTTTTATTTTTCTTGTAGATAGCTTTTATATTGTGAATGACTGCATATTGAAAAGATTAAAAAACCTTTTGTGTATATCTCAGCCATTATGCTTTCTGTTAATGTGATGACTAGGAGGTGAGGGTATCATCTGCTGTATATATGAACCAGAGCTTATTGCATTTGGAGGCCTCCCTGTCATTCTTCTGGTCTCCTTGCCCTAGTGCAAGAGCATTGTTCATGGGAACCCAAGGCTAAGCAAGTCATTCACATGAGTATATGCTATTAGCATAATAAACACTGCATTCTGTTCATTGGTTCATAACGTCCTCTTGGCATCTTGATTAAGCAACACATGTAAACATGGCTACTGAAAACTACTGGGACCAGACGCATGTACCCCTGCTCTGATAAGATGTTCCTTTACTTTCTGCTCTGGCTCTGGCTTTATTTCCCAACCTAATGCATATCTGCAAGGTATAAATCACTATCATTCTCTCAGTGGAAGCCACAGACACAAATGAGAAGACCCCAGGGTTGTGGGTAGATTCTGGCCAGGGTGGCTTTTCTACTATACAAGGAATGTCTCTTCCCATGCTGCAATTCACCCCTGATTCCAGAGGAGCTGGTCTTAGACAGTCTTTTCACTAACAGACTTAACATTCTTTGTCCAACACACTCTAAGGAGCACTGGCTCACAGGAAAACTAAGCCATTTGAAGAGATAAATCTGTGGCTCCCAGAGGACAATGATGCCCCATCAACCCCACTGGGGGACTTGTGGCTTTGTAGTGCACAGTCACAGAAGCAGGTAGCTGTGCAATGCCACTTCCTATTAAGAGACATGTTTGCTGGCAGACTTTCTGTTTGCTTTGACATTAACAGAGGGAGGGATGGTCTCTAGCAAAGTTCCTAAGAGATTACTCAGAGATGACTTTTTAGCACTTGTGGCCTGTTCTGTAAATACACTGAGGTGACTGGTGATGCCTAAGAGAACATTCTACTCAGCTAGACTACCAAAGCATTGCTGGGATGAGGTACTTGGGTTAAGGTCACACAGAGGAAAAATACAGGCCAGCAACATCACATGGGCCCAGAAAACTCCATCTGTTTGGCAGGCTGTTTTAAGGAATTTATTAGGGAAATTACAACAAATAATGCAATAATGCCACCTCCATTTAGCCAATAATTTTATCCCGAGAATTGTCTGTGTAAGGAGGCAATTCAAAAGATAGCAATTGAACAGACGTGTTTTCCCATTCCAAATGTAAATTTTAAATGATGTAGATAGTTCTCCATTGAACATGATCTCGCATTCTCAGGGGACACAACAATATCAAGATTGGGGTACCACTGGTATCTAGTGGGCAGAGGTTAAGGATGCTACTAAACATCCCATAATGCATAGCAAGTTGCCCCATTTCCTCTGCAATAGCGTTGAGCTGAGAAGCGCCCCCAGTGTGGGCAGTTATCGCCTCCCTTCTTCCTGGAGCCCAATAACGCATCTCTGAAACACATGGAATTTGTGCCCACAATCCCCTCTTTTTTTTCTTCAGAGTCTTCTACTTGACGAATCATTATTTGGAGAAAACACCACACCTTCCTCACACTTACCTTTCCCTGCTGGTCTGTTTTGATCTCCCAGCCCCGGGGCAATTCCAGCCGTGTGTCTGCAAACATGTTGATGAAATTCACCAAGTCCCGGTTGTGCTGGTAGCGTTCAAAATTGCGAGCATCTCGCCGGACTTTCAGAATCATGTGCTTTAAGCAGGTGCTACTGGTGAAGACTCGGTAGGCACTCTGAGACGGTTCAGGGCAGATCAGGGCAGAGAGTGAGAAATCCAGAGAAAAACAACCTATGCACACGGTGAATACTTTAATCTGATACAATGTGATAGCTACCCAGTAATTTACTGTGAGCCTGAGCTGGAGTTCCCAGAAGCAGGGATCTTGCTCAAAGAGCAAATGTGCATTGTTGACACATATGGACCTGTTTGCTAACTCAGTTCAACTTGACTCTGCAGCCTGGCACACTGTCAATGTCTCATGCATCTCTGTGCCTTCCTCCCTAGTCTCAGTCTCACTTGGCTCTCCCAAGCTTTCCTGTGTTACTCTGAACATGGCTCCTCTCCTTCCCATTCTTTTCTTGGACTGCAGAGGTCTGCCTTTGGTCCTGTTATTTGTCTAACACACAGTAATATAGTCATTTACGATTCCTGTGGACTTGAGGCTAGACTTCAGAGGTGTAACATTACTGTGACTTTTATATAATACAGGGCATGAGAAGAAAAAAAAGTTTTAGGAGTCTGTCAATGTGTCAAGTGACAATTTAATGGTATGCAGGGCTGGGGTGTGTGTGTGTGTGTGTGTGTGTGAATGTGTGCACATGCATGCAGTGAAAAGACAGACTGTGTGAAACCAGAGAAGGTTGGATCAACGACTCCTGCTATCCCAAAGCCCACCAGGTGCCCAGTGCCTAGTGTAGTGCCTGCCATACTCGTTGCCCCTTTTTGGCTCCTATGGCACCACTGGAAAGCCACTTTGAGTTCAATCACTAATCTCTTCCTTCTCCAACCACAACCTCCAACACTGCATCGAACTACTGCACCTATCTAATGGAATCATTACTAACTCAGGTATCCAAAGAAACCTCTCGTTCCTTCTTGAGCCCTCATCTTTTACCCACCTGTGACCACAGGGAATGTGAGCATAATCGATGCCCTAAGAAATCTCTCTGAATTGAGGCATTCCTTTCCATGCTTACAGTCCCTTCCTGAGCGTGGGCCTGGATCATCTTTCACTTGAGTGGCTGAATCGCTCTCTCATCTTCGCTCATTGCCCACTGGAGTCAATCCAGGTTCTTTTGCATAGCATACCAGGTGTTTACTGCTGAGTCTCCACGCTTCTTTCCTGTCTGCAGGTACCCACACTCTAGCCACTTAATACACTGTCCCTTAGTACTTCTTCCTGTCCACTTTCAACCTTTACGAGTCAATTCAGTTGTTGCTTTCTGCTCCATGGAGCTCCTCAGGCACTTTATCCTCCCTAGGTTTGGGCCCTGTCCTGTCATGTGAGGCTGATCATGTTACATTGTCACTCTGCCAAACAGACATCTATCTAGGTGTCTTCTTATATTGTCTTTGTGACTTGAGCACCTAGATTTGTACCAGAACTTCAGAAAATATTTGTTGAATGGAAGAATTAATGGATATACTGATACTGTGTTATTGTTTGCTGGAAAATATCCCCCCAAACTGCAATAAAAAGTACATGCACAAAGTCATCAGAATATTTGAAAAATGTATGAAAGGGAAACCTACTTATTTATCTAGGAGAAATTTATTTTAAGATTTCGTTAGTGGAAATGATTTTATAAAAGGGAATCTGGTCACTTCATATTCCTATTTCCTTTAAAATAAAACAACACATATTAATTGCCAAGGAATTTTCACTAATATGAGCCTTACAAAAACCTAAAGAGGCAACAGCATTTCAAAATCCAGCCATCTTACTTGTGGGATTCAAGGAGAGTGAGAAGAGGGACTATAGACCAGTGGACTGAATTGTCTTTTTATTTTCTCAGTATGGGGATTAAATTCTGGTCTCTTTAATCTCTCAAATGACTGCACAAAGCTTGTTTTGGGTCCTGATGGAGCTTGGCTCTCTCTACATTTGCAAGCACTCACATAATTGGCGTGCAGCACAGTGAAGAATTCAGGGTTGGTGATAAACTTGACCGCTGGGGACTGAAGCAGCAAGGTGACTTTTTGTGAGTTGACAGGAGAAAGTGACCCTTCTCTCCTCAGATCTGGAAGAAGTGAAGCAAAGTAACAGAATACATTAGAAAAAGTCCTTTCAAACTCAGTACTTCTCTGCCCAACAGCACCTGCACAGCAGACTGTTGCTTTTCACGATGGCATAACCAGGTGTGCTACAGGTCAAGCATCCCTTTTCTGAATGTTCAAGACCAGAAGTCTTTCAGATTTTTTCAGATTCTGAAATATTTGTATGTACACGATGATATATCTTCAGGATGGATCCAAGTCTAAACACAAAATTAATTTATATTTCATATACACCCAATATACATAGCCAGAAAATAATCTTGCACAATTTTTATGGGTGGGTGATAAGGTACTGCTGTGTAGCCCAGGCTGGCCTTGAACTTGAGATCTTCCCACCATGCCTCCTGAGTGCTAGGATTACAGGTGTGTCCCACCACACCTGGCTCATAAAATATGTTTAATAATTTTGTGCATGAACCTAAGTTCCACGGTGTAGAATTTTTCCATTGGTAGCATCATGTTGACACTCAAAAAGTTCATTTTTTTTGGAACAGTTTGAAGTTTGGATTAGAGATGCTCAACCAGTATCAGTTTTTGTAAGTCATTTAAGAATTACTTCCTAGTAGTGCTCTTGCATAACTTCATTAGGCTCAAGTCTTCTAAAATCTCCTCTTTATCTAATGATTTTTTTCTTACTTTCATCATAAGTTACTAAGCATAGCTATGACTTTTTTGTTTTGTTTTTGTTTTTGCAGAAAGGGGCACACCAGCAAAACCACAGCCTATTGGCAGCTGTGAGCCCAGCAGCATCCTGAGGACCCAGTAGGTCCAGCTCGGCTCATATTGCCAATGTGTAGAGCTGTAGGATAAGTGCATGGGTATGAGTCTCAGCCATTAAATATGGGGATGGTTTATTACACAGTAAATACCAAGTGATCCAATACCGAACCTCAAAGTCAGTTTTCTGTTCCTTTTTTTCTTCATGTTTCTAATTACTTGACCATTGATTGCCATGGTTTCTTTCAGAAGGCTGAACAAAGAAATTAACAGAAAAACCCAATCTAGTCAACTTCGTTAGTATATCTGGTAAAAATGAATAGAATATAAGCAACTAAAATTGTTGGTGGAACTGTTTATTGCACCTGAGAGGTCACATGAAAATGTTCAACTTCCCTGAGACTTTTTTTGGCAAATAAATCTGCCATCATTTAACCCTGATTCAAAGAAAAAGTGGATTATTAGGATGTCACTGTGATAATCTGGTATCATTACAGGTTCAAAAAGTGGAAGCCAGTCTCATGCCTTTTGAATATCCTTGTCTGAGTTCCACTCAGGCAGATTCAAAGATAGGAGAACTAGGCTCCTGTTGGATGCATGCTGTAGGCGGTAAAAAAAATGCTCTTGGTGTTCCTAACCAGAAGCCTGCTGGAAAAATTTCTTTGTCCCCAGGTTACTCCCTCAGGAGAACTGGATTTATTCTAAATGCAAGCAAGCAATTATTCCTAGTGTTATCACATGGCTCCTTTGAAATAGACTGTGAACTTTCATTGAATGTTTTATTGACAAGTGGAAAAACCTTAAGATACCAACAGATACATTTATATGACAACACATGATTAAGCCACCATAAAAGTTGCCCTGATGCACAAATATCACAGAAAACTCAGCTATATCCCCAGAATCTATTTGCTTTCCTCTTTCTAGACCCCAAACCATGATGGTAGAGTTCTGTTCACTTCTTGTCCATGACTCCCTCTAATTGTCCTGGTGGGGGGCTCTGCTGTCTCCCTTGCCCTGTTGGGGCCCTTTCTCATCCTAGTCCTCTATCCATTCTTTTGTTCTCTTTACCCTAGGGTAGGCTCCCGTAAGGTAGGATAAGGGGCTTGTACACTTTGGTCACACAGCCATCCCCAGGATCTCCTCCAATACCTAAGTTCGACTGGGGAGATTCAGCTTCAGAGTCACTCCCTCCACCTCCGTTTCCTCCCCCTGGGACTTGCTCACAGCTTTGACTGCCAGAATCTTCTTCAGGTCTCTCTGTTGCAATGGTTCGCTGAATATTTTGATACCTTTACATTAAAAAATAGAAAGATAGGAATTAACTTCTGTTAATTTGCTTGGATACCACTGTTCTGAATTAGACAACTGGAGAAGTCTGTTAAGAACTGAATGTCAGGAAAGAAATGCTGAAAATTCCCAAAACATAGCTAAAATCATTAGCAGGACAAGTATCTCTAGATTATTTGATTTCTTTTCATTTTGAAAGCTATGATAAGTTTGAGTATGGTGGTTTAAAAAATCAGTGCAAATAATAACTAACCTTGCAAATTAGCCTATGCTCAACATTAAGCAAAATCAAGCCAAGTCTAAAATAAGAGTGTGGGAGTAAATTACACCTAGGATATGGAATTGCCCTATACATTATTATAATAAGTCTACACGTTGGAATAATTGTTTTACTCATTTGTTTTTATTTGATAGGTAATTGATATGATCAGGTAGAGAGCATGGAAATATATACCTAAAAGCAGCTGGCAGACAAATATTTGCTGTTGATTTAAAGGTTCATTTTATTTTTCTACCTAACTTGGGGATGAAGTCAGTTTGCCTGCTAGTCAGCCACCTCCTCAGGTACTAAATATTTACTAGCCTTCCCATAGGGTGCAGGTTCACTGCTAGGCTATTAATCAGAGGATCAAATGACATTGTCCTTGGAACACACACAACAGAGAGGGAGGAAAGGGGCAAATGGTGTGAAAGCCATAACGCTTGCTCTGTGAAATGTTGTTCTGGTCATGTAAGAGACAGGCATGCAGACAAGGAAACTCCTAAGGTATGTACATTTAAAGCTGGAGTGTGGACATGTCTAGGAGCTTGTCAGGAAAGAACAAGTAGGTCCTGGGAGAGCCAGAAGCTCAGAATGACATTAGGATGTGGGGACCAGCACAAAAGGGGAGGGGAACACCTGAAAGGTATCCCAGCAGCAGTTTGGGTCAAGGCTCTTCAACCTGGGCAGCATCAGAATTGTCTGCTGGATTTGTTAAAACACAGACCGCTGTGCCCCACCCCAGAGTCTCTGATTTGAAGGTGTGGGGTAGAGCTCAAGATTTTCCATTTCTGATTCACATTTCACCTAGTTCCCAGGCTGTCTTGAGGCTGCTAGTGCAGAGATTGACTTTGAGAACCATTGTTCTTGGTGATAAGTAGCTGCTTAAAAATAGGAACAGACAAGATATACACTGAAAATGATCACTGACATAGTGTGGAGAATGAAGGGATATAGGAGCCTGGAGGCAGGGAGAGCAGTCCAGGAGCTACTGTAAAAGTGTTGGCTGGAGATGCTATGCCTGACCCCGGTAGGGATGCTGGGTCATACTGCCGGCAGGGAGGGGAAACACCCACACACGACAGGGGTTCCAATATCAGCTGCACCTATCTGCAATATTCACAGAAATGTCCTGCCCTTCCTTGTCCTTGATGGCTGCTATGTCTGCTTCATGTCATTTTGCAGGCAGATGTGCAGCTGTTTAGTTCCTGTCTGCAGGACAGGAACTCACTCACTCCAAGTAGTCTCTTTCCTCTCCCATTACAACTTCTGTACTGCTTAATATCTCTCAGCCTTCCAAGGCAACATGGCTAGGACTTAGCGTCCCTTTTCCTGAAGGCACAGCAGAGATGGGAGAAGTGGCATTTCAAGAAATATTTACTCATAAAATTTGTAATAACTTTACAAGTAGACTCAATAGAATTTGGGGTCTCACTGGGTATGAAAGTTGCAGAAGATGGAGGAGACCATCGTGAAGTTAATATTTCTGCTTATAGCAAGTAGCTGGAAGTGCTAACACTGAAAGAAGGATGGACAGATGGACGTGGGAGATGTTGGATGGACTTGAACATGTTGATTTGAAGGTCTTTGACGTCCCACCAGTCATAATATCCATGAGAATGTTACTTACGAGTCGTGTGCTCAGGAAACAGACGAGGAGGCAATGGGCAGGCATGAAGAGGATAAAGGAAAGAGCGCAAGCAGCTGAGAATAACCATGTCTCCAAGAGCAATCCAAGATCAAGTGAGGGGGATACCCAACATTTCACAGAGGCAGTCCTGCTTTGGAAGACCGTGCCCTGTTCTTTCCTTAACCTTAAAAGGAAGCTTTCCTCAGTGTGGCCTATAGACCACTTGCAAGAGAATCATTTGAATGATTGTTGAAATCACAGAAACTAAAGCAAAACTGAAATCTGCACTTCTAAGAATCCTTCGGATAACATTATATATGTTTAGGTATAAGAACCACTGATCTAAGGGATTTAAGTTTCATTTTATCTAGGGAGACTGATGCTCACTCTCACACCTGTCAGAAGACACCTTTGCCTATTGCAGTGATTGTGAGGCATTTCTTCAGAAGATCTCTGATAATAAAATGTGTAATGGGGGAGAAATGAAAAGAGTAATCATGTAATTGTAGAGAAATATTTGTGTTTATTTACCATGTCAACACGTCTGGGGTGGGGAGGTTGGGGAGAGAGTAAAGCATAGCCTTCTGTCACCTCCCATGTGGAACTCAGGGAATGTAGCCAAGGCAGGAGGTCAAAGGGCTAGTGAGAAGGTGCCTGAGCCAATAACCTTGATTGGGGTGGGGATGAAGCCTGCCAAAGACTAAAGAAGCTACTGACGGGACAATGACTTATGGCAGATTGCATTTTCCCTAAAGGGCTTAACAGTTTTTGTAGTTCCATGTGCTCTTCATTTGCAGTTCCAGAACCTATCACTCTCTTTTTAAGATAAATATCTCTTGTCCTCGGGAATGAATATAGTGTGAATGTTTGTGATGGAACCCATCAACTATCCTGTGAGGAAGGCAGGCCATATGGAAGTTCCTGTGTGGGTGTTCTGGTTGGCAGTCCCAGTGAACAGCCAGCATCAACCTCCAGCCATCCCAACTGCAGCCATGGGACACTTCACAACTGGGCACAGTTAAACCATGACCACAAGAAGGAATGATAATAATAAATGATTGTGGTCGATTTATGTCACTACATTTGGGACAGGTTGTTACCTAGTAATAACATCTGGAACAGGGCATAGACAAATGTCAAGTTGCAGCCTCTCTTTTCTTTCTCAAAGTGCAATGACCACAGCTATTAATTTTTATGAGTTGATATGACACTATTCAATGATGAAAATGGTGTGTCACAACCTACTTCCTATGTCCTCAATTGGATCTTGGTCATCTCACACCTTACTCAATAGCCTTAAATATCACGTATTAGACCTGAAACTTAATCACTGCTGAAACTGAGGGGCAGTTTGGGGAAGTGGAGCACCATTGAGGTGGTAAATAAAAGAGAAGAAAATCAGAAAGCCTGTTCTCTTCTATTTCATCAAGAATTATCTGTCAACATCTTCCTCTACTTTGCTTTTTCTGTTTTGTGTCAAAAGGTTAAATATTTATAGTATACAAAGAGCTCGTGGAAGTTGGTCAGAAAGTCAGCTGGAACATATAATTTGTAAATGGACACACACAAAGAAACATCCACATTTACAACTAGACAAGGGGAAAAAAAGCAAGTAAGGAAAAAACTCAAAACCAACCAACCAGACAAACAAATAAAAAACAAAACAAAAAAGCCAAGAACAGAGAAGTCACATAACAGTAACTACAATTCCTAAAGAAAAGGTTATGGGAAAATTTGATCTTCCAGGAAGTAAAATATAAGCCATTCTAAATTACCAAGAGTACCTTCTAAATCAGCAGAACAGACCAAAAGAGATAGAAGTGAAGTTGTTATTGGCAGAATGAACTCATACAGCCATGTTGTTAAAGTTAAGCATTGATTTAAAATCCCCAAACCATTTTTATCTCCCTTTATCTGCTATTTTGGGACTAGAACCCTAAAGAAATACTCTATTATAAGACAACCTCCATCTTTAGTAGACTCTTATAGTCCAGTCAAAAATAGTGATAAAGGTAACAAGCAAAACATTCAATAACATGAGAAGTTTACTGAATTATATCCATTAAGTAGGTTAATCTGAAGACTATGTAGTAATATGAAAATGCTTATAGTGTAATAACTAAAAATAAGTACAAAACTAACTAAATATTAACTTTATAACTTGAAGAATTGTGCATGCATATGGAAATTAAAGATGGATTTTTTTTAAAGCTTAATCCTTGTAGTAGGTAGTAGGACTATAGATTTTTTTCCTATTTAAAATTTCAATCTCCCTTGATATTATAATTTTTGGCCAGGTGTGGTGGCTCATGCCTGTAATCCCATTTACTCAGAAGGATGGTAGTTCAAAGCCAGACCAGGCAAAAATTTAGAGTGAGACCCCATCTCAATCAGTAAGTTGGGTGTAGTAGTGGTGTGGTACCAGCTACTGTTGGGGGTGGGGGGGGACGACTGGTTATGAGGATCAAAGTCTGAAGCCCACCTTGGGCAAAAATGGGACGCTCTACCTGAAAAATAACGAAAGCAAAAATAGGCTGTGGGTATAGCTCAAGTGGTAGAGCATCTGCCCAGCAAGCACAAGGCCTTGAGTTCAAATCCCCACTACTGCTGGGCTGGGGTGCATCTTAAGTAGTAGAGTGCTTCTGTAGCATAGGCAAGGCCCTGGGTTCACCCCCTCCAGCACTGCAAAAAAGAACAAAAAAATAGAAACCATGAATGCCTAATATTAAGATCCCTTTAATTTCTCTACAAGTCTGATCATCAAACCTCTGTACTGCCAAAAATATAACTTTATAAAAATAACTTAAAACCAGTTTTGCTGATTATTTAAAGTGAGAATATTTTCTGCTTGCTCAAAACATGTATGTTTTGAAAAATCAGAGTTAATTCTGGCTATTCCAAAACAAAAGGAATTAATCTAGGAAGTAATTTTGTACCGAGTCCTATGAACTTTCTAAATGAAACTAGGTTAGGTAGGGGAAAGAGTACAAAGAAAAAGAAGGCAAGAAGGTAAGAACTGTAATCCAGGGATGCATATTCATGAGCTATGGAGGAGGAGGAGGTCACTGCTCTGGTTTTGCATGGAGGACTCTAGGAAGGTGTCACAGGGCATGTGATGTTCAAGTTAGGTGGTGGGATGAGGAGAAGCATTCCAGGGGTTAGACAGGCAGTGAGGGGACTTTCCTATAGTGAGAGCATGTGGTCAAGCCAGAAAAGCTGCATGCAGTCAATACAGCTGACCACAGTCTCTCAGGGAACACTGCCTTGCACAAGCACATTTGATTTTCACAATCTACCAGTAGGGAATCAGGGGCAACTCTTTGCAACACTAAGAAACATTTCCAGTTAGTTTATAGCGAGACAGTGGTCCTTGTAAATTTCTCCAGATGACTGTAGGTTATCAGAAAATGACCCCTATGTGTGATCATAAGTAAGATAAACAAATGATCCAGTAGTATACCTTCTGTGGTTGTCTTCATCACTCCAAATGACAGAAAACATTAAATGTTTAAAAGCAGTAGGTTAAGATAAGCATTTAAAAGCTTGGATATTTATCTGAAGGTTATCTCACCAGCCCTAAGTAGGCGTTGCACAAAAAATAAGCGCTTTTCCAAATCTTAAAATTCTTTTCCTTTTTATCTGTTGCAAATGCAACTTCCTGTTCAGCAAAATCTGGCTCTCTCCCAGTGTGTTCTGCTATAGTGGAGGGCACGGGAACTTACACATGAAAAGCTGTAAAACTTCTTGAGAGGCCTGGTTCCAGACAGGTTTGTTCTAATTTTTATATTGAATGACATGAACTTCCACAGATTTTTATGCTATAAATCAAGGTGCTTCCTTCTATTTCAAATTTATTGTTTTATTTGTTGATTTGATTGATCATTGATTTGTTAATTGTTGCTCGTTCAAGCAAAACACAAGGCTATGATCTCGTGTAGACAGTCTGGTGATATTTTCTCAGTCTGCTAAATAATTTCAGCTAATCTGTTCCGTCAAGACAGTCATAGGGGCTAGTTTTTGCCTGTGTACTTGCAATAGGATCTCTATAAAATGAGCTTCTTTGTCCTCTACATTCTCAGTCAAAGGAATTTTGCTGTGATCATCCAATGATTTTTGGGCAATCCAATGGATTTTTGGTGTATTCATGTCTAATAAAAGTGGTTTATCCCAACTTCTTCTTTATAACATGCTTTGTGTCTGTGGGAATGCTTGTGGACAAATGTGTTGCCAATGAAAATTCTTTATGGTTCTTACAAATGACTAAACATTCGGCTACAGATGAGGAAAAATGAAAGACAAATGTTTTCTAAATTCTCAAGAATGACTTTGGGTGACTCTCACCTGAAGCATGCTCCCTGGTGTGTAACAGTAACCAGAAGTTGAATATTTTCGTCTCTGTGAATTTTGTAATAGGGCTAAAAGCCCTTTTTTTCTGTCTGATACAATTAAGTTTTCCCCCAAACCCAATTCTTTATTCTTTTCGGTCCCTCTCAACCTTTTTAAAAAATCTTCATACTTAATCCATAAGCACTTGCACATGAATGCAATTATAACTGAAGTAAGCCTGAAGCTTGCATTCCTGGCAACTAAGAGTATCCTGAAGCCACCTACCCTGGTCTAAATAACAAGAGCATGAAGATGACGGGCAACACACAGTCTGCGGTTTCACTTGCTTCACTTGTACATTAAATCCAAAATGACATCTTTACAAATTCAATAATGAGGGTTCATTTTTTAAAGAAAATAATTCTCTCTCTTTCTTTCTCTATCTCTCTCTCTCCCTCTGTCTCTCTCTCCCTGTCATCTCTCTCTCTCTCCCTCTCTCTCTCTTCCCCCCCCTTTCCCTTTCTTTCTTTTGAGACAAGTTCTTGCTGTGTTGCCTAGGCTGGCCTTGAACTCACCAACCTCCTGCCTCAGTGTCTCAAGTAGCTGGAATAACAGGAGTGAACCACCAGACCCTACTTCAAAAAACATTTCTTTTTTTAAAGATGAAAGCTTTTGAAGAATTGTTATTTATGGGTATACAGCAATTTTGAAACCAGATTAGAAGTGCACAGAGTGATTTATGAGACAGTTTTTCTTGAGGCAGCTTTACGTATTTTTATGGATACTATCCTTGGAATGCTCTTAAGTGTTTTGAGTTCTGTATTCTTTTGAGTATCTTATGATGGACATGGATCAGCATGCTAGAGAAATGTGCATTCATGTATAATTTTGCATACAGTTTCTGGAGAGTTTAAGGGCTCCTGTCACCCTTGGTTAGTACCTGGGTGGTGGTGGTTGGGGGGTTTGCTGGTTAAGAAATCTTTTCTAGCATGGGCCAGGAGAAGTCAGAGGATTCCCATCTTTAAATGACACCCGACTTTAACTTGTCTTCTGCCACCAAATTCTAAATTTAGCATCTCAAATGCCTCCTATCAACAGGTTTCTTAAGCTACTGAATTACTTTACAGCCTTCTCATATGAGTAGAAAGTATAAAAGTAGTGTGCCAGTCTCCTGTCACTGAGGTTTCTAGGAGCTCATTTCACACGGATCACCAACCGCCTGTTGAGCTGCTCCATCTGCTGGATGGACCCTGATCTCTGCATCCCATCTGGGGTGGCTGCTGCTGTTGGACGCTGCCAGGTGGTCGTGCGATTCACATGATCCACATAAAAGACCCGCCCGTGGCTGTCAATTCGAGCTTCCCAGTCTGTGTTTAACAGAAAGGCAAAAAGAAATATCAAGGACAGAAGTACTGGTCTACAGATACCATTTCTGGGTCTGCTGCAGGGAGAACTCACTGTTGGCTCGCTGCTGAAGGCCCTCACAGTACCTGCCAGGCCTGTAGGGCATGGAATAGGGCATCCCAGAAAGGCACTTAATTCACTATGACTCTCTGCTGGGCCATTTCAAACAGTAATTGTGGTTCCTTGAGTATGATCTATGCTAAAATCCTAATAATTTTGAAGGAAAAAGTCTATTTAATTATTGATTCTTAAAAAATCTTGCTGGCTACTCAAGCACCAGTTGTGGAAAATTAGACATGTCATCCAGGGAGAGTGGACGCTGTGACACAGGAGAATACTTTCTTCACTACAGCTAACGGAGGGTGACTAAGTTCAGTGAACAGTGGCCCTTGTATCAAAACCAAGTTAACTTAGTATTAACTTTAGTACTAAAATACTATACCTGCAACTTGACATGACCTCTTCCTAATATTTTGCAAGCTTAAGTGATTGTCATTCTTCTTGAGAGAGTGAATGGAAGGATTTGAGACCTAGAGTTTCGAAACATCTTTTTGGTAAGTTTGTAAATCACAGTGTATGTTCAGTACCTGCGGCTGCCAAATATTTCTGACCAAAACCAAACCAAACCAAACCAAACCAATAACAGCTACTGAAAAACATCAAAATTTTAAATATCTCTTTGTTGTTAAATAACCATTCCAAACAGCAGAGGGAGCCCACGATAAAGATTAAGTTCTTTTGCTTCTCAAATTGAACATAAAAACTAGAAGGCGAAAGCATAGATGATGCTCTACATAACACATGCAGGGCCCGGGGTGGGGTGAGATGCATGGGAAAGCCACAGAGCCTGAAAGGCCGGAAGTAATGTATGCATATCTAAGCCCGACATACAAAAGCAATGTGTCCTGTACAGAAATGGGCAAAGCTTTTAGAGTCTACACATAAAAATGTAGTGGAAACAGCAACAACATGGTAATATTAGGCTGAAAATACAATATACTTAAGAAAACAAAGCAAACATGATTGCAAAAAGAGGAAAACCCCTCAGTGTCTCAACATGGGAAGAGCCACAGCTTTTGGGAGTAGGTCAGGTTTTAACAATTCTCTTAAAAACTTACCATTCAGGTAATGACATAGCAACTCTAAGTTCTTTGAATGGAAAAACCAATTTGACATATTTGTGGTTTTATGTGTACCTGACATATCTGTTTGGAAACATTACGGCCTATGTTTGACCTGAGGGATTGCTACATTATGCCCAGTGAAAATAAAAACACCAGAAGACACAAAATTTAACTCAGAAGGCAAATTGAAGGGAAAATGTACTACAATTGTATAAAGTGATCTTGGAGATTTTGACTAAAAACCAGCAACTAGATAATCAAGTTGTCAATGGCTAGTTGTAAATAAGTAGCTCACTGATGAAAATGTGTATATGTGTAATCATGTTACTTAATAATTAGTCTTGATCCAAAAATTGAAATGTCAATGGTTCCCAAACTAATATTAGAGAATAACTAGACAACTCTTTTTATTGAAAACAACAAGACTCATCCAACAATGAGTAAGTGTTAATCTTTTAAGAGCATTGTGCAATTTAATTCAACTGAACAAATTCATTTTAGCACTTACTGTAATCTAAGAACCATGCCAGGTTCTAGGACACAGAGCTGAGTATCACAGGTCTCTGCCCTCCAGGTGTTCATAGCAAGGGAAGAACTCTTTCACAGACAGGGATTTAAGGTTTACAAATTCTCCCAGGAAAAAACTAGAGAATGAAACAGCAAGGATGATACTTTCTCACCACAAGTTTTGGTATTTCCAAATCACTCATTGAAAAAGATGGTAAGCCAGATAGATAAGCTCTTTTATTAATAATACATTAAGTATCTAGACTGCATAGTGCTAATTATATTTTCTTACATATATAAAGTAATTGGCTAATGGTAACTAGAAGTGATGAGTGTGTTTTCTGGGTTGATTTGTAAAGAATTTATTTTTGAGCCAAGTATGGTGGCACATGACTGTAATCTTAGCCCTCAAGAGGCTGAAGTAGGAGGATCGTCTGTTCAAGGTATGCCTGGGCTACACAGCAAGACCCAGTCTCAAAAGAAAAAGGATTTCTTTTCACAAACTTTCTAACCAAAGAAAAATCTCCATCTGGATCTTCAGGCCTCAGCATGACTGGAAGACCAATTCATGTGATGTCATGAATTTGCTTAAATAGAAACACAAAAAGAATACCTTTACAATAGGAGGGGAAGTTATTTGTGATGAAAGGACAGGTCAAATACTAAATTATATGTTTTCCATGAAGTCTAAGAACAATGTAGAGCCTAATCATGTATCATCTGCAGTGATTACACTAAAAAATCCTGTAACATATTTTTAAAAAATTTATAAATGCCATACTACACTTACAGTTTAGAACCTTTTCTTGAACTTCAGAGTCAAACATCCAATTGCCTTATTGAAATCACTATCTGGATGACATCTCAAATATAATATGATAAAAACAAATTTCAGATCTTCCTCACCAAAACCTGCTCTGTCTGTAGGCTTCTTGTCCCATCTCAGTTGTAGACAACTCCATCCTCCCAGGTTAAAACTATGTCAGTATCCATTCCTCTCTCTCTTCTCTCTTCTCACTTCTCACTTCTGTATCCAACATTTCATAAAATCTGTCTTCAAAACTACAGCCACCCTGGCCAAGCCACCACTGTTTCTCATCTGGGTCACTTCAATAATCTTACATTGCACCTCAGGTTTCTATCCTTCCTCTTCACAATTTATTACCTATACTTCAACCAGGGAAAACCTTTCAAAACCTAAGTCAGAAAATGTCACTTCTGTGCTCAAAACTCTGCAGTGTTCTCCTTTTATTCAGAATAAAAGCCAAAGTCTTTCTGTGGTCTAGAAGGCCTTATGTGATTGGGCCCAGCTATCTCTCTGACATCACCAAGTGTCTTCTCCTTTCCTCAGTGGGCTTCAGATGCATGCCTCTGTTAGAGACCGGCAGTGGCTATACCTTTCACCTGCAAAGTCCTTCCTTCCCAGCATTTATCCAAGTAACTCCCTTATCTCATGCAGTGTTACCTTCCTTATGAAGCCTACTCACACTATGTGGTCTAAAATTGCAAACTACTACCTCATTCTCAAAGATCCCCTTACTCTGTTTTACTTTTGCTTCTCCATAGCACTTCTCATCAATCAGCTTGAAACACTAGGCCCTTATTTATCATCTTATTGTTTGTTAACTGCTTCCCACACTAGCCTGTAAACTCCACAAGGGAGGGCAGGAATCTTTGTCCATTTTGCTTACCTAAAACTGTATCTAGTACAGAGGAAGTATTCAATAAATATTTGTTGAATGAATGACTACTAGTAATTTTCTATTTGAGATTGTCTAAGATAATTTAGTTGGTAGGATTCACTCACAACTTTTCTAATATTTTTCAATGTTATATGAATAAAAAAACCTCAACCCTATTTGGAAAATTTTAATTACTAAAAGTGAATTGTATTTAGTAATTGCTTTAAAATAAATTTATATTCAATTATTTATAACATCTGCATATATAACTAGCTATTACTATTGCATGAATTAGAGGTCAATTCACACACACATACATTGAAGCGTTATTTGTGGTGAAGAATGTGCCTCTTTCCTGGAAAGAACATGTTATAGATATTTTTTAAGTAAGTTCTAAGTAAGAAGTATTTACAGTAATGATGAATTTTTACTATCCATTTTTGTAATATCCATAAATCAATGTATAAATGAAGTAAAGAACCAAAAATTAGTGGAGGTAACATTTGTCTTGATCCCTGAAAAACAAATATCGTGCTCCTTAAAGTTAGTTGTGCACATTAAAGACATTCATTGTTTTCTCACTGATAAGGTACAATTGAATGGGGAGAAAAGTAGTGTTTGTACAAAATATATCACATTACCAAGAATAATGAACTAGAAATAAGCATTTCTCCTTTTGAAAACTGTAATTAATTAATGTAAGTACAGTAAAAAGAACATAAAGAAACATGGGTTCCTTGAATCTTGGAAAGATTTTGCAGTTGTATTGTCTATCAAATCTTAAAGGCTGTCCCTGGATAAAAAAAAAACAACTTAAACCAAAACAGAGATGTTCTAGAATCATGAACATATGATAAATGAGTTTATACTGTTTGTTTTAGGTGTCAGTTCCCTTTTATAAGCTTATTTATGTAGAATGTTATAAGGTTAAAGCTTAAACATTGTCTAGACACTGTCCAAACCTAGCATTTAACAAGTAAGGACATTAGAACTTTGTTTTACAAATAAGAAAACCCAGTATCGGAGAGAATAAATGAATTTCTTAAAATTCAGATGACTAGTTAGGTAATTATTAATTTGATTTCACAGTTATTAGGAGGAAATTATATTGAATTCTATCCTAAAGATGATATTTTCTTGGTACCCCTTAATAACTGTGGAAGAAATTTAGAGCTATTATCTATTGCTGCAAGTTTTAATACAGAAAGGTTTAGTTCAAGGAACCTTTGGGTTAAAGTTGTTTTATTGTATGGAGATACTTGTGGGTGACAGATCTGATGGAGAGTAACAGAATTATTCTATTTGAAACTGCAAATTTAAAAATTTAGGACTCAAGGGCCATAGATAGCTTGCAAGGACGAGTGAAGTCTTGTAAAGAATTGTTCTCCATTTCAGAAACAGGGACACTGAAAACATTTGGTTATCTCTTCAAGATCCCATGCTGAAACAACTAATTAAAAACCAAACAACAAGCAAACAAGAAAACCTCAGTTTTTATAGTGTGTGCCATATTGTTTTTTGGTAACAGTGTAAGGCATGAAATCGGGGAAAGAGTTTGTATGTTTACATACAAATTCATACTGACCTGTTTAGACTGGACAAGAAGAGGTAAGACATAGATTTTAAAAACTAAAGCTTACTTGGTGGAAGAGGCTCATCGATTGTTGGGTAGTGATGATGTTCAGGCCTCAAGGAAGGAAGCTGGCTTACTGGCTGGGAATTATGGAGTATAGTACATTCACCTATGGACAAGACAGTCAAGACATTCAGATTCATTTATTGCTATGGCAATGTCATCAAAAAAGCACGACTGTAAAATAAACTACTACAAGAAACAACGAATAGAGTGGGCAGTCTACTTTTTGTGCCAGTTACTTACATTCAGTCATTAATGACAGAATTATTTGTAAAAAAAAAGAAGGAGGAAAAATCCCCAAAACTTTATTACTGATAATCTATGCACACAGACCAATATGTAGGATTCTGCAACTACTTGAATATTTTTGATGGTAGGTGACATCAGAAAAGAACACAAGAGAAAATTAGCTGAGCCTGATATTGGCGCAGTGAAGGAAACAGACTTATTTCAGGGAAGCGAAGCATTTGAAAGGTTCCATAAAAGCTTGGTGGGCTTCTGCAAAGTTATATCATATCCTCATCATATGGATATGATTGTTTTATTATAGCTTTCATAAGAGAGCTGCCAAGAGGCTGTTTTTCAGATTTATTTTGGAATCAAACTCTCAGATGGTGCTTTTCCAAGATAGGTGAAGACGCTGGTTGACCAAGAAGGTAAATTCTTACAGTAGAGAAGCTAAGATCTAAGGGAGTGAGCTCACGCTACAGTGGAAACTCATGACTATTCCAGATTATTCAGAGGAGAAATCAGACAAGCCATGGTGCTCTGGAAAGAGTCAAGGACAAGAGACAAAGGAAGTAGATGAAAAAAAGGAATACTGAAACAGGGAAGTCTGAAATACAGAAGTAAGACAGAGGAAGAAAGACAGACATGAGGAAATCTTAGAAATAAACATCCTATCCACAGAAAGCCTGCCTCACGTTATTGTAGTTCAGACTCATAATGAACTGAACAGTGTTCTAGAGTGGTGTTCCCGTTTCGTGATGTGCTTAGGTATGTACAGTCGCCATATGGACAGGAGGTCTACAGCACCAGCTAAATATTCTTGATCTCTGGAGAGCTAGACAGGCCCACGACAGCCTCCATTCAACTCTGGACTGTTTTCCTCCTGCCTCACACCATGCTCACATCTTATTAGCTAGAGGATAAAGGCCAAAACTTTTCCTTCCTCTGCCTTCTGTGGCTGATGCAAATAGCAACAGTTCTATTATTTTTTGGATCAAAATGAAGAAAAACTGTGAAAAGGAATGGCTGAGATCTTTGTGGGTTTGTGGGCCATGAACATTTTCCAAAATGTCCATACGTGGAAAGATGATTATTTCTCCTTGCTTTAGTTCCATTGACTGAATCAAGAATAAAAATAGATTATTAGGAAGATAAATGGGCTTAGTTTAACAGTTTCAATTTTAGAGGTAACTGGCAAACAAAAATAAAGAGATATTTAGGAACAAGAGGCCTTTCTATGTGTTAAGAATATAGCATTATTCCTTGTGCAAACTCTTGTATATTACTTTAGACTTCTGGCTCCTTGAAGATTCAACTGGAAGTCAAGGAAGGTGTCACTGTGCCAGTATACCACTCACTGTGGACAGACTGCTGTTTCAAACATGGGTCCTGTGTTTAAGCAGACACTTGCGTGTTTAGTGTTAAAAAATGGTACAGTTGTTATGTCATCAGCTGCTGCAGTTTTTAGTTTCTTAAAAAAAACCCCAAACTTACCTCATTGTAATTAATTCAACCAAAGGTTAATTACTCCTCCAAGCTAGTGGAAATACAATATTGTGGCTTGCCTGAGGTTAATGGAGTTCACCCCACCTGCTTGTGAACCCCAAGCAAATGCGATGATGTGACTGACACAAGTCAGCCGAGTGAATGGATGAAGCGAGCTGAAGAAGCAAGCAGTTCTGTTCTCTCCTAGGGCCCGGCTCTTCACAGTCACCTGTACTGACCTGCTAGAACAGCAGAGAAGGAAACCTATCCTATTTCTCAGCTAAAAATAAGTAAGATCCTTTTAAATTTTGTTCTGTTTATATATAATATGACCAAATTGTAGCAAGAGGCAGGTTGTCTAGAATATTATTTGAAGCAAAATGATTTGTCAGTTTTCCTTGAATTACATACTACAGGAAATATGAATTCAAAAAAATCATTTCGGATTCTTTATATTACACGGTTTTTTTTTTTTTGAGATAGGGCTTCAATATGTAGCCCAGGCTGGCCTCAAACTTGTGATACTCCTGCCTCAGCTGCCCTCAAGTGCTGGGATTATGGGTGTGCACTGCCACACCTAGCTATATCATAGAACTTTATAAGTTAGCTTCACTGTTCATCTGCTTGGAAGAACTCTCACTTGGTGAGATTTCTCACCAGATTGGCAATTATAATATTATCTCATTAAGTATAATCTCATTTAATTCTTTCTATAACCCTTTCAGATTCTACAATTATACTCATTTGACATGTGAGGAAACTGACGTACACAGCGTTAGGTCATTTGGTGAGGAAGTGGTGGGACTGAATATGAATCCAGGAGACCTGGCTCCAGGGTTGGCACTCATAACCACATTATCATGCTCCTTTCATACATGTGCAGAAGGTTTTTAAAAATCACTTTAAGTTGTGCTTTTAAAAAAGTTTTTATAGCGGGCAAAGAAGCAAAAAGTAGATAAAGAGTACTCATTTACATAGATGTCAGTTTGGAGTTAAAATGCATTGAACCGTATGTTAAAATGGTGTTCTTTCCTGAACTGTTGCCAAGTCCCGTACCTTAGTCTACTTTGCTAGCCCATTGCAGTTTCTATAGTGAAAGAATTCTCAAACTTAGAAGCCAGGGTAAGTGGGCAACAGTTTCTTAAGCAGTTTCTTTGAGCATAAGCTTTTGTGAAGCCTGCTGGGATGGTGACTGAGGGACAGACACACAATTCAGACAACAGCTCAGGAATTCACACTGAGGTGGGAACACTGGCTGTGAAGAAGTTATGTGCCCCTGTAACACACGCCTCTCTGAGATCAGCAGTCCCTCTTCTTCCCCTTGAAGGCCATCGCCAAGCAGAAGTCAGGAATTTAGAGATTTGGGTAGAAACTGCCCTGCAAAGAGACACACCTATGGTTCCTGCTAGACTGTTAATCCCTTAAGGGCATGGGCAATGTCTTTTTTTTTTGTAAAATACGTTTTGAAATAAATTTATATAAAGCCATTTTCCAATAAATCTCTCAATAGGGAGGCCAAAATACTACATAGACATAAAATGGATTGAATGGCTCTTAGCTAAGAGTGCATATGGCACTATTAAGTGTAAAAGAAAAAAAAAAAGCATTTCCATGAGAATAGTTACGTGATTTTTCCTCTTGACCTACAAAACCTAAATATTTACTGTTTGGCTGCTGATCGGAATCATCCCCGCCAGCTCTCTGTGTGCATTTTTGTGTGGGACTTCTCCCATCTCCTTGTGATACAGTTATCTCCCATCTTGTTGTAATTATGGGGTACCTCCACTAGTCTTGCTGTGTCTAGCGCATAGTATCTGGCCTAGGACAAAGCAGGTACTCAAACAAGTCCTTTTTAAAGAATGGGATTCTCCATCTAATTCTCACACCTCAGGAATGTCTTTATATTATTTATCATATCATGGTTTTCCCTGCCTCTGTATTTCCCTTGTGCTTCTCCTTATCATATGTGACAATTTCCCTCAGTCCTTTGTCTGAAACGTAGAATTGCTTACCACTGAATACTTAAAGTTGTTTTCATGCTCACTTTTTAGTTTCTGTTCAAAACAATTGTAGGCACCAGGTAGTTGTTTAGGTGCTGATGCTTCAAACATATAGATATACAATACTGGCCCTTGATGAGCTTACAATCTAGAGAGAATAGTACCACCTTTTGTTTGGAGATTAAACAGAAGAAAAGCAAAATAGCAAAGTCTGTATTTTGCTTTTTTACAGCTGAATTGTTTCATATTATGCAACTTATAAATTCCCTCCTCCCCCATGCTATTGTCACTTGACTGGAAGATGGTTCCCAATCCTAGATAAGGAAACACACATTAATTTACAAACCCACACACAGGAGTAAAAAGGAATGTCTTTGGTTAAAACCAAATACATCTTAAAACATCTTTAGAATACATCTTAAAACTAAAGGTGGCAACTTTTGGATTCAAATCTTATTTGAAACAGTGATTTATACATTCATGTTATTCTTCCTTTCCATTAGCCAAATAGCTAACAACAACAGCAACAACAACAAAGCACAACCAACAGTTATGACAAGAATTGGGCAGACATAAATAATGACAAACATGTAGGCTATCCATAAACATGGGACTAGTTAAATTCTAAGACAGAGGTAAAAATCCGTGTTCTTCAATTAATATTAACATTTATGACTAATCTTTTGATACATTTGGGGAAATCAGTACATATTTTACACATTATCCACTAATGATGCTAGATTGTTTCTCACCTACATGATTGATGCTAGTCTTTGCACTTGAGCTGGTTACACCAATCACTTCTATTGATTAAACAGAGAAGCACACATTCAAGTGCACACTCACATCCAACTAGTTGTATGTCCTGGTGTGAATTTGAGACACAGGATGCCAGCTATTCATAGTCATCTATATTCATATCCACCTTCACACATATGCACACACAAGCATACATACATACATACATATATATATACATATATATATATATACACACATACATACATACATATATATATGAACACACATTGCCCAGCAATTCCACTTGGGACTGGTCCCTCTACCAACCATGTTGGTGAGACCTGCGTGTTATTCTCCCTGATTGTCCTACTCTCACTCTGATCAGGTTTGAGATCTAACCTTCTCTCCGACTGCTTGGACCTGCCATGAGGGACTCCAGACCTTCAGTGGTTCTTGCCACGTTCCCGCCAGGGGCGGCCAGCTCATCCTGCCAGGGCCCAGCACCGTTCGTGGACTCTGGGTCCAGCTCTGGGCTCTGCATGGAGTCAGGCACCGACTCGAACGCGCTGTTCTCCTCCTCCTCGTCATCTTGCGAGGAGAAGACGGTGCTCTCGGAGATCTTGGCGCTGTCCACGGAGGAGAAGCGCGTGTGGCTAGCGAACCTGCTGTTGCCATTGTAGCAGGAAGGGCTGTAGCAGGAGGCGCTGTAGCAGGAGCTGCTGTAGCAGGACGTGCTGTAGCACGAGGAACTGTAGCAGGAAGGGCTGCAGCAGGACCCGTCACAGCCCTCGCAGCTGTGGTCCCCGCCCTGCCGGGGGCTGGAGTCGCTCTCGCTCCCCGTGCTGGGGTGCGTGTCGCCATCTGGACCGGCGCCATTGGCCAAGCTGGGGAAATGGCCAAGGGGCGCCACACCTGGCGTAGCCCCCTCTGGCTCTTCTCCATCCTCTTCCAGGACCGGCGGGTCGGCAGCTAAGGTGTCCAGCTCGCTGAGCCCATCCTTCTCGGAGGAGCCCTTGAGGGTGGCCTCCTCCTCCGCGCCGTCCTCCTCCGCGCCAATCCCGCTCTGGGCCGACGGCAGGCTGTGCAGCAGCGTGTGGATGCGGATGTAGTGGGTCCGCGGGGTCTCGGGGTCCCCACAGGCGGACGCGATCACCGTCTCCAGCTCTGACACAGGCAAGGAGCACGGCCTGCTTTTCCTCTGCACCGAGGCCCGCAGCTGCAGCCTGGCCTCTCCCCGCCCCAGCGTAGACACGTCCCCCTCCTCTTCCTCCTCCTCCTCCTCGGGCTTCTCTTCCTCCCCACGGGCCCGGCTCGCAGGCGCTGCTGCCTCCTCCACGTGCTCCTCCTTGACGGCCGGAGCATCACCGTCTTCCAGCAGCAGTGATGGGGGCGCCTCCTCACCCAGGTCCAGCTCCTCGGCCAGTTCTTCTGCACTCAGAGCGGGCTGGGCGTCCTGTTGTCTTGGGGCCAGAAACTCCCCAGCCCCTTCAAGCCCCTCAGAAACCATGTCATCATCTCCTGCTTCCGGAGTGACTGCGGCTTCCTCAACTTGCCCGCCATGCTCCAGGCTCTGGTTTCCTGAGCCGTCCCCGGCGTTGTCCTCACTTGGTGGCTCGGGCCTCGCGCTCCCGCAGGTTTCTGGAGCGTGGTTCAGCGGCTCCGCACCGCTGCTTCCCACCACACTGGTCACGAGGCTGCCTTGAATTTCTGCTGGCTCAGGCTCAGTACTCTGAGAAATCTCCTCATCATCTGCTAGCGAGAAGAAAAATATGTCATTTGCAAACCATCACGAAGGAATGATGGATGGACATTAGGACATTGAATGTAGTTGTTGGGAAGGGTTTCTCACTCATCAGAGCGCTACTGAAAAATTCTGTAAGAATTCTGTTAATATCATTCTGTTAATAATTTGCCACTGTAGATAATATTTTAAAATTCTATTTCAAGGGAATTTTTTTTTTTTTTTTGGTAAAAAAGTGCCAATAGTCTTGCACTCCCCCAGTTCTGGGCACATAGTAGGTGGAATGACTCCCGGTGAAGGGGGTGGTGGTAGTGTTTATAGTTCCTTGATCATCCTTGTGGAAGTTAATTGTACTTGCTGAGAATGTTTCTTGTGGTTGGGTCCTGCAGGGGGCCAAAATGGATAAGCCAGGTTTTTAGGCAACTAGAGAGAAGAAAAGGCTTGGGTGACATATGGGAGCACCCATTTGCATTTGGAGCTTATTGCAGTAGAAAAATAAACAAGGTTTCCACACCCAGCACCCATTCACGGAGTAGCAACCACTGCTTAAATCTACCTTTCCCAGCTGCTCTATTGTTTGTCTATCAGATGTGAATGTCTCCACTTCAAATGCACTGGTGCAACTCACCAGTTGAAGAAAACAATCTCTCTGGTAAGCCCTAACACTGTCCTTGTGTGTGCACTGAAGGCAGAGTCAGTCTTATTCTCAGTGTAGCTGAATTTGACAGGATAAAAGGGGTGTTTTCTTTCAATCTGAGTTGCATTGTTCAGCATGGAAAAGTGCAGCCGGAATTTACTGAGTGGGTAGCAATAAACTCCAGACTCTAAATTCTCAGAGGCTGCATTACTTTAACAGAAACTCATAAAGGTGGCCCAAGGGGACCTACCAATTCCCAGTGTGGTCTACATTTAGTAGGAGGACTATAGGAGAAGAGAAAAAGTGGAATAGGCATCTCATTAGTCTTACTTAGAAATTGTTTTCACATGAAAAACTGAACACTGGATGATTTGGAAAATTTCTGATTAATTTGTTTTTCATTTTATCTGTGACAATTAAAAACCCATTGTACAATCACAATCATATTGTTGTTCTCCAACAATATGATATTCTTCAGCCACTGCCCACTCTATATGTAGGTACTGGGTAGAGAGATGTTTCATTCATTCATTCATTCATGTATGCAATAACTAAACATCTATTGAGCACCTCCTATATGGAGCTGGCAATAAAATAATAAATAAGACCTGGTTCTGTATCCATGCCATTCACATTGTCAACCCCCACTGCAATGTGTAATTCTCTGTCTTTGGGCCACCAGACTGAAGAGGAGCATCACTATCAAGGGATAGCATCCTGACTTCCAGCATAGATCACTGGTTTCTGGGACTCAAATGGAGAAGCCAGAGGACCACAAGTACAAAGGCATATCTGGAGAAAGCCATCATTACTTGTGTTTTTGAGAAAGGAACCACACTAGGACAAGACATGAAGTTCATGTTAAAAATACCTGGGTGGATGGAGGAAGTGATCTCAAATCGGAACTGCAGCTGTCCACTCACATGATCTGTTGGAAGCCTGCGGCCAAGTGTGTAGCTGACCACCCTATCCCTAGAAGGAAATAAGCACCATCACAGATCAATACCTCTCCTGTTAAAGCTCACACAGTGGGCTTTCTATACCAGCAGGTGAGACAGGTAAATTCAGGGAAGCCCTAGCAATAAGAGGTGAGGTGAAGACATGCTCAGGCATATGAGATAATCTTAAGATTAAAAATTGGGACTTTTATAAGATATTCTAAAGTCAATCAACTATAGTCCATAATTTAGTCCACCACTTGTTTTTGTATGGACATGACCCTTTAACATTTTACAAATGGTTGGCTCCAAACAGATCTAAAGAAGAGTAATATTTTGTGGCACATAAATATTGTATGAAATTCAAAGTTCAGTGTTCATTAATATTTATTGGAGCATAATCATGCTTCTCAGCTTACTTACTGTCTATGGATACTTTTATACTACAGTGGAAGAGTTGAGTAGTTTGGATTGAGACCACATGGCCTTCAAAGCCAAAAATATTTACTACCTGGCCTTCTACAGAACAAGTTCGTCAACCTGTGTTCTAGAGAAGAAAGAGAGAAACAAAAAGACATGGATGTCCTTTGTTTTTTGCACAGACTGTCATTTTCCAAATGTGCCTTAATAACGGACAGTGCCAGAACATGGTGACTGATGTCTTAAGGTATATATGTAATGTATAAGAATAGATGTCACTGTGATTTCCAGAGAGCTTGTTTTGTGCTTTAGAAAACGACCTGCTGCAAGATGAAGTAAAAGCAAGACTTGTGAGCTGGATTTGCTGGCCTGTGACTTTCAGTTATACCAATTATAGGGACTCTGAGACTCTACCCTGGATTCTGGTCCCATCTCATCTACCCACTCCAAGCACTTTCTTAATTATTAAAAAGAAAGTTATCCAGAGGCAACCTACCAGATGGACTTACTGCTGAATTCTACCAGACCTTTAAAGAAGAATTAACACCAATGCTCTACCAACTATTCCACAAAACAGAAAGGGAAGGGACACTTTCAAACTCATGCTATGCAACCAGTATTAGTCTTAAATCCAAAAATCAGATGAGGACACAATGAAAATAGAAGACAATGGACCAATTCTGCTGATGAACATAAACACACACAACAACAACAATCCTCAATAAAATACTTGCAAACTGAATTTTACAACACATCAAAAAGATTATACACAATGATCAAGTTGGATTCATTCTAGGTATGCAAGGATGTTTCATATGCAAATAAGTAAATGTAACATACCATAAGCATAGAATAAAGGAAAAAATCACATGATCATCCTAAGATGAAGAAAAAACTTTTGACAGAATTCAATGTCCCTGAAAAAATTAGAAACAGAAAGGTCATTCCTCAATATAATGAAGACCCTATATAACACATATAGCCAGCCTTATACGTAATGGAGTAAAACTGAAAGCATTTTCTCTAAAATCAGAAAGGAGACAAGAGTGTCCACTCTCTCCACTCTTGTTCAATATACTGCTTGAATTCTTAGAACAATGAAGCAAGAAAAAGAGAAAAAGTGATACAAACAGGTAGTGAAGACTCAAATTATCCTATTTGCCTATGATATGTTATATTTAAAAGACCTTAAAGACCACAAAAAAACTTTTAGATATTGTAAATGCTTTTGGCAAAGTAGCAGGATACAAAATCAACATACAAAAATCAGTAGCTTTTCTATATACAGTAACAAACATGTTGAGAGAGAAATCATGAAAACAATCTCACTCACAATAGGCTAAAAAAATAAGATACTTGGGAATAAACCTAACTAAGGAGGTGACAGAACTATGTACAAATACTAAAATACTGAAGAAAGAAATTAAAGAAGATATTAGAAGTTGGAAAGACCTTCCATGTTCATGGATCATCAGAGTTAATATTGTAAAATTGGCTATCTATGAAAAGCAATCTGTAGGTTAAATATAATTCCCATCAAAATTCCATTGACATTTTTCACAGAAATAGAGAAAAAAACCTTAAAATTCATATGGAAGCAAAAAAGAATCCTAACAGCCAAAGCAGTTTTAAGCAAAAAGAGTAATGCTGGAAGTATCACAATATGAAATTTCAAATTACACCACAGAATCATAGTAAGAAAAACAGCATGGAACCGACACTAAAGACACGAATGGAAGAGAAGACTCAGAAATAAACCAATGCAGCTACAGCCACCTGGTTCACAACAAAGGTGGAAAAAATATGTTGCAGAAAAGACAGCCTCTTTAACAAGTGGTATTGGGAAAAATAGATATCCATATGTAGAAGACTGAAACTAGATTCCTATCTTTCATTCTTTAAAAAAAAATTCAAAGTGGATCAAAGGCCTTAATATAAAACCGGAAACTTTTAAACTGCTACAGAAAAACACAGGGAAAGCACTTCAAGATGTAGAAATAGCCAATACCTTTGTGAATAGGACTCTAGTAGCTCAAGAAATAATAGTAAGAATTGCTATTATTGCAATAATAATGGGATTGTATCAAATTAAAAGCAAAGGAAATCCTACAAAAGTGACAGAAAATCTTTGCTAGCTACCAATCTGACAGCAGATTAATATGCAGAATAGAGAACTCAAAAAAATAAACACCAAACACCATATAATACAATTAACAAATGGACAAATTAATTCAACAGGTCCTTCACAAAAGAAATACAAATGGCCAATACATACACACACAAAAAAGGCTCAAGATCTTTAGCCATCAGGAAATGAAAATAATAATGACTCTGAGATCCCATCTCACCCCAGCCAGAGTGACTGTCATCAAGAAAACAAACAGAAAGAAATGCTGGTGAGAGTACAAGAGGGTGAGTGGGAAGGAACTTCGACACACTATTGGTAGAATTTTAAAGTTAGTTCAACCACCATGAGAATTAGTATGGAGTTCCCCAAAAAACTAAAGATAGAACTACCATATGATCTAGCTATACCATGCCTGGGTATATACCAGAGGGAATCTAAGCCAACAAACAACAGAAATACTTACACACCCATGTTTATCACAGCACTATCACCATAGCAAAGTTCTGGAATCAGCCTAGATGCCCATTTAACAGATGAATGGGTAAAGAAAATGTGGTATTTATATACAATGAAGTATTATTCAGCCATAAAGAAGAATGAAATTATCTTCTGCAAGAAAATGAATGGAACTGGAACTGCCTATTTGTATCAAACTCAGAGACACAAATAGTGTATGTTTTCTCTTATATGTGGAATTCTAGGTTTTTTAAAAAGGACATGAAAGTAGAAGGAGGACTGTTTGGAAAGAGATAGAGAACCAAAGGGAGGGGGAACAAGAGAGGGTGATGGAGGTTGAATATGATTATCGAGGTACATTTATATACATGTATGAAAGTGTCATGACGAACCCACTAAATGTACATAAAAAGAGAGACGTTTTTAATCCAAAATTCAATTGAAATCAGGAGAGACTTAAAGATAATCAGATGGTGACACAGAAATTAAATTTATTATGCTTTGCATATACTTTGCTTTGCTTCCAGTCACTCAATCAACAAATATTTTTAAAGACCCTGCCATGTAAGAAGTATTCAGTTGATACAAAGTGTGTACTACAGCTGGTCACTGGTATCTCATACCTGCAATCCTGGCTATTCAGGAGGCAGAGATCAGGAGGATTGCGGTTTGAAGTCAGCACAGGGCAAATAGTTTGTGAGATCCTATCTTGAAAAAACTCATCACAAAAAAATTGCTGGTGAGCAGCTTAAGCAGTAAGCATCAGGCTTGGAGTTCAAACCCCAGTGCACAACAAAAAGTATATACTACATAGATCTTGCCTTTAAAAAGCTTTGTCCAAGGGATGTGGCAGGTGCAAATATCTGAAGGCAGGGAGACAGTAGTGCAGGTAGAGAAAAAGCTCCCCAAAACAATGGGTTTAGGAGTGCTTTTGCTGAGGGAGAGGGAAGTGTGGCATGGTGGATTCACTTTTACAATTTATATACTCTGGCTTTCTGTCATGGTCAAGGCCAAATAATTACCCCGCTCTTAACTTCATTGGGACATCTCCAGAATGGGCAGCACTGCAGAAGTGGCCTTAAGGAGTGATGGGAAGCAGCAGGTTTTGGAGAAGGAGTGGCTTTCCCTGGCCTCCAAAGGGCAGTGAGTGATTTCATCAAAGTTTACTGTTGCTTCCTTTTAGAGAGGAATTACACTCATCTATGTTTCTCTTTTTTCCCCCATTGGGTGGCAAAAACAGTAGAAAAATGGAGTTAACATTGTTCAGGTTAAGGGAGGCCCTTTTCTACCTCAGTTGCTTGCTTTCACCACCTAGGGATGTTCCATTCCATAGCAGGAAACTGGGAGGGTAGGACAATGACAAAAAGAAATGAGGCAGCAGTTTTGGCTGATGAAAAGTATTCAATGTGGCAGAGCAGATGGGTCCTCTCTGTGGCTGTAGTGACCCAGAGAGAGTTCAGTTCAACAGGTACTAACTGACTATATAATGCATGCTAGGCAGCAGTGTGTTCAGTACTGAGGTATCAAGAATCTACCAAATCCCTTCTTTTGTCCTCTAGCCCATTCCCCTGGCAGAGGAGTCAGCAGTATGAGAGCATACAGCATGTCAGGAAAAAAAAAAAAGAGAGAAATGAAAAGTGTGGCCAATGACTCACTGGAGAATCAGTCCTACGGCCCCTGATGAGATGAGTCTCTTGTCAGAAGGCTACACTTGGTCTTTAGAGAGTGGCTGCATCTCCACTACTCACAAGCCTTGTGCTTAGGTTATTATCCTGTCTAAGTCTCATTTCTTCATATGGAGGGATGATAATGCCTGAGTCACAGAAGTGTTGAACTAAATGAAATAACAAAGATCACAGGGAATATCATTCCCTTTTGAGTTCCTACTATGTGCCAGTGACTGTGTTAGGCTCTTTATGTACGTGTTTTGTTTGTTTAATCCTCATAACCTTGAATGGTAAGTACAAACACTGTGGCTGACACATGGCTGTAACTCCACTAATGTCAGCTCCCTTTGGTTTGAGAGTTAATGGCATGTCTATGTGTACATAGCTACACACATGCTATAAAATTCCAGTTAAATATCCTTATGATAATCATTAATGATAGCAAACTCCTTCTGAAAATCTAAAGAACTTTTAACTTAAACACTTGATAATTCTGTATAATTTTTCTTTTTTTTTGTATTACTTCAAAGACTATATTATATTAAAGCATAGGTTTATAGCCAAATGAATTTTCATAGTATTTTCAAACATAGTTGCTGTTACCTAAGGAAATATATATGGTATATAATAAGGAGTTCATGCGGTCATAGCACATTTTAGTGAGAACCATAAATGGATATGAATATAAAAGATCCAAAACACAGAAGCATACTGTCATGTACAATTGAATTCTGCAAGCAGCATAATTGCTGTCATTCTATGAGAATGGACACTTTCAAAATTTCATCCATTATCTAACATTTTCTGTAAAGCCTAGCATCTTCTGAGCTACTCTATCCAAGAAACCCAGCATTTCATGTTGCTATGGAAATGTCACGTGATTAAATCCTACCCACAAGACAGGCATATGAGTACAATAATATGCTTCACAGTAAAAACAAACTTTAATATTTGTCTATTCAGAAAAATGCCTCATTGATGGTTCATTTTAGTACTGTCTTGGGATTTTCTACTCTCTTTCAATATGTAACCAGTGGTACATAAATAACAGATAAGGGAAGAATTTGTTTAATTGCATATTGTGTCTCAGGCAATCACAATTAATGGGAGAAGCCAAAGAAATGCAACACCATTTTAGTTTGACTTTCAATAAGCCCATATTATTGCAGTTTCTAGGCATCTTTGGAGCATGGCCTGTTGACTGAACTCCAGTAATATTGAGATCCCGTCGCAGGTTTACCCTATGGCATGTCTCTCCAGGAGTCTCTGGACAGGCATCGACAGCTTTCCCAGGAAGCGCTTGATGATGGGACGGCTTTTGGCAAACTTGTCTTTCACCTCAATTTCCAGCACATCAGTGGGCAAGGAAACGAAACTGAATTGCTGCAATGAAAGAATATGTCACATCAAATAACAGAGAGATTCTAAGGTTGGCCAATTCTCATGCCATCTGCCTGGAAGACGTCATTGTAAAAAACCCCAGCTGCAATATTTATATTAAGATCTTAGAAATACTATAAGCTTTATTTATTCAGCAAATGAGGGATAACAATGACATGATCCCTCAGGGCTTAAAAGTAGGGTTATTCTTTGAGATTCAAATAATAAAATCAGCATAAATTAAAGAGAGAGAAGATTACCCAGGCTTCCTGTACTTCACTACAGTTATCATACTTGAAGAAAGATTAAGCACAAATTCATCTATAATTAAGGAAATGCACTTTAAATTAACAAAGCCTCATATTATTTCAAGATTATAATGACAGAGATTTGAAAACATTTTATAATTCCTGATATTCTTGAGAGTGGGAAAAGATAAGAACTTTCACTCTATATTGGTAGGAATATAAATTGACTTAACCTTTGGGAAGGGAATTGTTAATATTTATTGGCATTAAATTGCAAATTCCTTCAAGAAATTATAGGAGTTTTCCTTCTGGATTAGCTCATGCAAGTGTACAAAAAATATATTTTGTAAGGTGCTCACTGGAGCATTACTAACAATAACAAAAGACCATTTTTTTTTAACAAAAACCCACTTGTCTATCTATCACTAGGAAACTGGGTAAATGAAATATGGTCAATCTTTGAAACAGAAAACTCTGCTGTCATTAAAAAGAAGCAGGTAAGTCAATATGCACTGACATGGAAAGACATCTGATAAACTAAATGAAAAAAGCAAAGCACAAAAGAATATGAAGAGTGGGATTCCATTTGTATTTTGAACTGTAGAGAAAATGCCTGGAGGAGTAGGCTCCAAACTGTGAACTTGGGTGTGACTGGTAGAAGAGGAGAGGAATCAGATCTTTTAGATTTTATTTCATTTGAGTTTATACTGCTCATTTGTTTAAAACGTGGTATGCACTTTAAAATGAAAGCAATGATAATTACAGACTGTGACCAGCAGAAGTTGGCCTGGTCATCAATCAAAGTGTAGAAAGGGGCTCAAGATAACAAATTTTGGCATTGCTCAGCCTGGTCTACTTGGGAGGAGAAGTCTTAATTAGCATTGAACCTAACAGTACCCTTAATCAATGGCTGTGAAACACCTAAAAAATATAATTATTTCATTCTTATTAATTCCTAACAGCAATCTTTTAACCCTGGCTGATTTCTACTTACAGTGGTAAAATATTCTGGACATGTAAAAGTTAATATCTCCCCTGTTGCAGTCAGGATGAGCATGCTACAGTAATAACCAACTTCCAAGTTTCAGTGACAAGATGATAAAATTAGATTTTTTGTTTTTTTGCTCATTGCTAGTCACACCAGAGGCAAAGAGCACTCAAGAGAGTCTTGTCTTGCAAAAACATATTCTCTTCTAAACATAGCTCCAAATTGGAGCTAGGCCCATGCCCCAACCAACCTCAGGGAACAGAAAGGATGACTCTACAGTGTGTCATGGAGGTAGAGAGAAGAAATATTTGGTAAACAGTTCTCATGACTTCCATGCTCTCCATGTGGTCTAATTTATGTTTTAAAATACATTTAAAAATTGACATAAAATTGTACATATTTATGGGATACTATATGATGTTTCAATAAATGTACATATTTCATAATCTTCAAACCAGGGTAAACATTTATCTCCTCAAATATTTATCTTTTCTTTGCTGTGAAACATTTAACATCTTTTCTTCTAAGTTTTTCATATTTTTTTTGGTGGTGCAAGGGTTTGAACGCAGGGCCTCATGCTTGCTTGGCATGTGCTTACCACTTGAGCCACTCTGCCAGCCCTCTTCTAGCTTTTTTGAGGTATATGTCATCATTGTTAACAATTGCCTTATCATGCATTAGAACAGCAGAACTTATTCTCCTAACTGTAACTTAGCACCCATTGATTAGCCTTTCTCTATCTCTTCCATGCTCCTTATTCTCTCCAGCCTTTGGTAACAAGGTTTTGGTAATTTACACTATGAAATCAACTTTTTTAGATCCCAAAAGATCATATGATATTTGTCTTTCTATGTATAGCTTGTGGTACTTCTAATTACATTACAAATTAGTTTTAATTAACGCCTATCCAATTCCTAAAAACTAATCATTTCTGGTACTGATAAAACTGAATTATGGGCATACCAAATTTGAAGATCAAATTTAGATGTGGGTGCTACCCTAAGGTCTGCCTAAGTGAGAATAGAGCTGTCTCATGCCAGGTCCTTAAAACATCTATAATTTCAGTCCAACATTACATTCTGAAGTGTATTATGTATCTTTTAAACTAAATTCCAAATGATAGGTTAGATACATTGTAGTCTATGCATTTATTAGAATTGTTTATGTTATAAATTTTCATAATATAACACATAATATAATCATAACACATAATATAATCATAACACATTAAATGATAAGGTGGAAGATGCTTGTTTCACAGTGTTATATGACAAGAGCAGGGCACATAAAACATATAACTTATAATCATAATACTATAATGTTTATTATCTGAATAGAAAAAAGACTGAAAATAAATACAACAAATTTTAGTAGTAATAGTTTTACAAACAAGAATGTCTATCCCAATATTCTTTTTATATATTTTCTGTACTTCCTGTAATGAACACTAATGAAAAACACAATTGCTTTCATTATTTCCACCTAGAGCAGCCTGCATGGGACACTGAAGTGAGCCTATCAAATTGCACTTTGAAACTCAGTGGCAACTACTGAATTCTTTTTATTTTATTATTCATATGTGCATACAAGGCTTGGGTCATTTCTCCCCCCTGCCCCCACCCCCTCCCTTACCACCCACTCCACCCCCTCCCTCTCCCCCCCACCCCTCAATGCCTAACAGAAACTATTTTGCCCTTATTTCTAATTTTGTTATAGAGAGAGTATAAGCAATAATAGGAAGGAACAAGGGTTTTTGCTGGCTGAGATAAGAATAGCTATACAGGGCATTGACTCACATTGATTTCCTGTGTGTGTATGTTACCTTCTAGGTTAATTCTTTTTGATCTAACCTTTTCTCTAGTTCCTTGGTCCCCTTTTCTTATTGGCTTCAGTTGCTTTTAAGGTATCTGCTTTAGTTTCTCTGGGTTAAGGGCAACAAATGCTAGCTAATTTTTAGGTGTCTTACCTATCCTCACCCCTCCCTTGTGTGCTCTCGCTTTTATCATGTGCTCAAAGTCCAATCCCATTGTTGTGTTTGCCCTTGATCTAATGTCCACATATGAGGGAGAACATACGATTTTTGGTGTTTTGGGCCAGGCTAACCTCACTCAGAATGATGTTCTCCAATTCCATCCATTTACCAGTGAATGATAACATTTCGTTCTTCTTCATGGCTGCATAAAATTCCATTGTGTATAGATACCACATTTTCTTAATCCATTCGTCAGTGGTGGGGCATCTTGGCTGTTTCCATAACTTGGCTATTGTGAATAGTGCCGCAATAAACATGGGTGTGCAGGTGCCTCTGGAGTAACCTGTGTCACAGTCTTTTGGGTGTATCCCCAAGAGTGGTATTGCTGGATCAAATGGTAGATCAATGTCTAGCTTTTTAAGTAGCCTCCAAATTTCCTGTGCATGTGTGTTACCTTCTAGGTTAATTCTTTTTGATCTCACCTTTTCTCTAGTAATCCACAAATGGGTAGAATGAGACTGTGTTTGCACAGAGTTGAATATTGTGTAAATAGCATAACCATGTTATACATATATCCTCAGTATACATCATTCATAGTCTCATTTATACCAACAATTCTCCTCAGAAAGAATGGATTCTTAGTTTCAGTTGCAGTATTATAAATTCCAAACTAAAGCTTTATTATATTTGAGAACCACAAAAGCTAAAGTACTGGTTCCTTCAGCCATTTATTTCCTAATTAGATCTGTAGTCATGGGTAAGTCATGTGTTCTGTGGCTTTGGTTTTTGAAGTTTAAACCAAAAGTTTACTGTTAATTAACTGGTACACAAAGTTGCTGTGCAAAATTATCCCTCAGTTCTATTCTAAAATTATCATCCAGTTATTTTATTGTCCTACCTAAGTATAAATAACTGTCACAAATGGGAAAAAATGGCCTTAAATCAAAGTGGTTATTTTCAGTATCATTCTAGATTCATATTTAAGTATAAAAAGTTAAGCTATACAGTTTAAGAGATTATTTTAGAATCCCATGTTCTGACCCTGTCTTTCTGGAAGGACAGTGATATATAATTTCTGGATAATTTAGAGTGAGTTACAGTCTTTCCAGAAATTTTTCAAATGAACAGTTCTGTTTATCAAATTTTTAAATTTATCTTTCTGAGTTTACTGTTTTCTAAAACTGGCCATAAGCAAAGGTTTAAATGTAGGTGATTACCAGGAACCATGGGACCCATCCAAAGAAGGTACTTAAAGTATTTTTGTTTTTCAATTTAGGGGAAACAACGGATTCCATTAAGTACAGAAATTACATGTCAAAAAGGGCCTGCTATCAGGTTAGACTCCCAGGACAGCTTCATATTTTACTAGGAAGCCTTTAAAAATTGTCTTATGGATAAAGGATGGCTATTCTCAATTGACAATATCATCACCACTTATCCCTTACTGTGCATACCAGAGGCTGGAGAATAAGCACATTTTTATTTATATAGCACCAAATATAACCACTGACTTCTTTTTTATATGGAAAGAATATTTTTAAGAGATTCTGAAAGAGAATAGAAACTAAGGATTGGAGGATTTAAGGGTAACTAAAAATATCAAAATTTTCACATATACTTTTTCTTCTTATATAAAAAGAATTAAATAAGTTATATTTGAATGTCCTACATATATTTTAAAAATCAGATACTTCTACATTTTTACATTTAAGATAAATAGAAATTGTCTAAAAGATGAAGGATGGGGTAAAAGATGGAGCTATATATATATAGTTCAAATTATGTTAAAATCCAA